GGTGGACAGAGGAGTGTGCCGCAGCGCGTACTGTGATGTTTGCACAAAAAGCCTTCATGCGAGCAAACAACCTATTGGACCATCCCGCGGAGCGTAGCGAGTTTAGTAGGTTGCGCACGCGGTATCAACGAATACGGCGGGAAACCTTGGATGCATATAAAGTTAAGCGGTATGAAGCCTTCTTGAAGGAATGCTGTGGAGACCCGCGGGCACTGTGGAAGCGCATTAATGGCAAGGCTAAGGCTGACTGTCCTATCAGCGACGTTTTAAGCTGGAAGGAGTACTTCGATGCTCTGTATAATGGATCTGCAAACGCCTGCAGTGAAGTTAATGCGGACATCATCTTGAGTTTCATAAATGGCGCGGTACGAGGAGAGGGACGGGGCTGGTCGCACGGGAATGAGCGAAGGGGTGCTCGCCTGGTGGTAGCAGCGGCCATGGATGCACCCTTTACTCTCCCAGAGGTCACGTCTGCGATGCAAGCATTGCGTAATAGGAAGTCGGGGGGGGTTGATGGTGTACCGGCTGAAGCATTTAAATATGCGCAGCGTATGGTTGATGACAAACCGCAACTTGTTCTGGCACCCTACCTATTGGAGCTAATGGAGCATATTCGGAGTACAGGGGACTATCCTCGGCAGTTCGAGGTTTCTTCGTTGACACCCATTCACAAGAAGGGGGATGTTCATGACATGGGTAACTACAGGGGTTTGGCAGTTGGAGGTGCTCTATCCAAGCTTTATGCTATGCTCCTTGAGCGGAGGATCAATGCTTGGGGAGAGGCTTCTGGGGCACGATCCCCTTTCCAAGGAGGTTTTCGCAGTAATCGCGGCACATGTCATAATCTGTTCGTTCTTCGACATTTGACGGACAGGTCAAGGAAGTCGTCTGGGAAACCGCTTTTCGTGTGTCAAGTGGATTTCGAGAAGGCGTTTGATAAGGTCCCTAGGGAATTGCTTTGGATGCGGTTAGAGGAGAGAGGAGTGACGGGTGCCACTCTGGAGGCGTTAAAGGCTTGCTACCGGAGGGTAGAACTCAAGAGTAAATATAAATGGTGTTCTGGGGGACTCGTTCTTTTCGTTACAGGGGGTTAAGCAGGGATGCCCGTTAAGCCCAACTTTGTACGGCATTTTTGGGAAGGGTTCGCAGACTACGTGGAGGCTAAGGATCGACTTGCACCCGATGCCATGGCGGCCCACGATTGTCCGCTGAGCGATGGCATGCGTATTCCATTGATGTTATATGCAGATGATCTTAGTCTTTTCGCAGGGTCACACAGGCGGTTGATGGCGCTGCTTCGTGCGCTGGAGGAATGGTGTGGAGCTTTTGGCATGAAGGTGAATGTGGGAAAGTGTGAGGTCATGTTTTTTCAGGGGGATCAGAGCGCCCGCAAGGCCATGTATACCCTGGGTTCGTACGGGCTGGTCACCATGAGCGTTAAAGAGAGCGCTGGGCACGTGGTTCGGTCATTACCATGGAAGGAACGCGCACGATACTTGGGCCTACACTACGGGCCAGGTGTGCCGTTTGAATCATGCACAGACGAACTATTTGCGTCAGGGCAAAGGGCGCTTTCCTCGTTGACTACCAAGCTTAAGAGGCAGGGATTGTTTGTCCCAGCTGTTTCGGTGAAGGCGTTTGACGCACAAGTACTATCCATTTTGTCGTATGGAGTGCAGGTGTGGGGTCCGACCAAGGTTCTAGATGTGCTGGAAAGAGGATATCCTCGTAACCAGGAATCGCGCTCGTGTTACTTCGATAACTCGCTACAGGACAGGATGGTCGAATTGCAGAAGACCTTCCTAAAGCAACTGGGTGGTGCGGGGCTTCCCACGAATCGACTGTTGTTTAGGGAGTTTGGGCAATATCCCTTGCAAGTTCACTGGGCGAATCTGATATTCCGTTTTTGGAATAAGCTGGTTAAGGCGAAGGGCACCGTGTACCATCATTGCTTCAGAGAGGAGATACGTTTGGCTTTAATTTCATCCATGGCGTACGATGGTTGGGGTTCGAAGGTTCTGAAGATACTTGAGATTCTTGGTCATGACATGGCGGGTGATGAGGATGTTGAGGCTAGAATTGATGCGCTCACGTCATGTTCGTTGGATATAGGCCAGTTGATGCAGGAGTTACGCAGGCGATTTGATGACGATTGGGAGAGTGAGCGACTAGAAATGGATCCTAGGACATTTGTTTCCGACAACAAACAACCAGGGGTGAAAATGTGCCGGTACAAGCAGTGGATGGGGTTGCCTAAGCACTGCACTGGATATATTTCGCCGAAGCAACATGTCACGCTGATGCGTTTTAGGATGTGTGTGTGGCCGCTTGCAGTGAATCGTCCTCATGGCAGGGAAAGAGCAGCGCGGTGGTGTCGTGTATGGTGGGAACCGTCAAGCAGTTGAGGACGAGCGTCATGTTTTACTTGAGTGCCCTGCGTACGCGGATATTCGCACCGAGCTATTTGAGCTTGGAGTGTCTCCTGAGGACCGCATGATAGACGTTATGGGCGTTGAGAACCAACGCGGACTAGCACCTGTTTTGGATCATATCAGAAGATGCAGGTTACAATTTATTGATGATTAAATATGTTTTTACAGTAAGGTTAATTTACTACCTTTACATGTTCTTGTTTCCAGTTCGGCGGTTCATGAGCCTCTTGGCTCGTTTGGACCGTACAAACTCGAAGCTTGTAACACAAAGTCGCATGGCGACAAATATGCGTAATTATACAATACAAGTAGGTTTAATGCCGGAAATTGTACCGTACCGCTATGGCCGATTGGTGACACCGGATTGGTGAAAATCACCAATCCAGTAGCAAAGGATAATCCGGGCTGGGATTGAGCGGCGGCCATCACCAATCCCTGTACGTTTTGGATCCAGGTCGGGTGCCGGACCGCGCGCGCGCGCGATGCTGTATGCGACGGCGTGCATCTAGAAACGTTAACATGCGACTGCAGATTGGTTGATGTGGGCCTGGGGCGCCGTGGAGGGCCCACAGTGAACGGGGGGCAGTCCGGTTGGCGGCTTTCACCAATTCGGTCGCAATGGGAAAAAGTGGACAGGGTAACACCAAACCGTATCACCAATTCCGGTGTTGGAAAGATTAATTCTAGAAGCGTTTTTTACTTTCACCAATCCAGAAATCACCAATCGGCCATAGCGGTACGGTATGAATAATCCTTCTACTATGCGCACATGCTAACATTACCGGCTCAAAATCATATGTCGACATCGTTTCACGAGGCATGTCCTGCTTATTGGGTTGTACTTCATAGCTGCGAAGGCCCCTGGTATTTTTGGTATTGAAGGTCTCTGCTTCGCTGCCAGTGTGGACAGTGATCCATTGGATCACCCCTCTTAGCTACTCCGCCCAAGGACGTGTTAGCTACTCCGCCCAAGGGCTTGTTGTTAATTCTCGGGCTATGTATGATTGAGTCTATTGTTATGCGCACATGTTAACATCTTTTGGCTCAATATCATACGTCGACATCGTTTCACGAGGCATGTCCTGCTTATTGGGTTGTGCTTCATAGCTGTGAAAGCCCCTGGTATTTATGGCATTGAAGATCCCTGGCGCGCTGCAAGTGTGGACGGTGAACCATTGGTTCACCTCTCTCAACGTGCATTTTATCTTCGACCGCCCCACAGTCGCATCTGTAGATGCTTGAATCAAGGTGTTTAAACGCAGTATCCCTGCTTAAACTCTTCCATATGGCACGATACTGCAGAAATGGCCAGGGTGCGCAGCTTCGTCAGCCTGCTTTTTATGTTTCAAGTTTTACTTCGTTTGGTCATATACCCGCTGTAAAATTGCATTGGGTCTTTTTACGCACTTGCATTGCCATCGCCTCGCGCCTGTATGGCACTGTGTGTTTCCGTGTCACGGCACCCTTCTATTAGGATTGGACCCCCCAGCCAAAATTAAGGTTTTACCGAATCAGTCACACGATTACAGCTCCACGATAAGGGTGTGTTCACATGTAGTCCAATTGAGAGTCTGATTGGGAGTCCGATTCGGGGCGGCTTTCTGAATTGTGTTCACATACGATTGCGGCCACCGCGCGAGGTGCCACCGCGCCCAGCTGAAGCTCCGCGGCTACGCCCCATCACCCAAGGCAAGCCAGCATTATCTAGGAACAGAACAGTATAAGTATCGTTTCTATGGCAAAAATTATCACCAGGCTTGTACATACATAGCTGCAGGAGTTCGTGAAAAATGCTCGGTGCGCTTTGCGTGAATTAACAATTGGAAAATGTTCCTATAGTATTGTAATGGTAATTATGAGAAACGGTTTGTTAAACAACTTTGTTTTGAGAAAGAAAACTGTGAATCACGTCGAATCATACCCGAAGAGGCCCCCCGGACCCCAATTCCGATTCGGGTCCAATCAGGTCCAATTCAGAGTCCAATTCGCATGAATCAACCCTGATTCGCCCACATGTGAACACGTCCTAAGGATTACGACACGACCAACAGGATTTGGACAGGGACCCCAGCCTCAGGGTTAGGATTGCCGTCCGGCCCCAGGATTAGGATTGGGACCCCCCCCCCAGGATTGGGATTGGGACCCGGCCACAGGATGAGGATTAGAACCCCGACCCTAGGATATGGATTAGACCACCACTCTGGATTAGGGATTAGAAGTGGTCCACCCCTGTTGAGATTAGAGGATTGCTGACCGGTACCCAACCCCTGGATTAGAGGATTAGGACCACTTTGCATCCCTCTGGCCGGATGCTAGAATTGGCATGCTTATGCTTGCAAACTCCATGCAGCAACCCAGGCAGCAGCCCAGCGGCAGATGCAAATTTAAGGAATACTCAGCGCAATTGTTCACAACCACCATCGTGATTGTTGCGCAGTGCTTGCAGCATGGTTCTTGTGCGATGTGCTAACGCGTGATGCTTGTGTCAGCCACTCATGCTACCCTGTTATAAATCTACGAGTTGCTCCGTGCCTTACGCTGTACGGCTGATTCGGCTCGGAGCGTGATCTGCACGTTATGTTACAAGCAACTAAAGATTGTATGTTGTTACAGGGTGGTTAACTTCGCCAGCGGCCCCTTTCCCGGGCAGTCTCTGCTCTTCCCTGCTAGAGGAGCACCCTAATCCGCCACCCCATCCGACTTCAGAATGTATTCGTTCGGCACCTCTGCCAGCCGCCTGCCTATATTTGTGTCTTCCCGCCGTCACTTAAAAGAACCAAAGTACAGTTCCACGAAAAACAAGCACCACTCTATCGCAGTCCCATCGCACGTGCGCACTTCTCAAACGGAGGCAAAGGCAACGGCTTCGTTAGGAAATCCGCCACCATATCTACCGACTTGACGTAATTGAATATAACTTCGCCTCGCGCAGCACGCTCACGCACGAAGTGGTGCAGCACATCTATGTCAAACTAAAAACAGGCGAAAACATTACATAACGCACCTAGGCCGAACAAGGGACCCATATCAATTATATTCAAGCAAAGCAAATCAACTAGCATTCTTCAGCACTGTGTACACTTCAGTATTAAAAATTACAAGAAAATTACAAGAAATTACAAGAAATTACAAGAAAATTTCGGACACATGTTGGTAATGCTGAGATGTAAAGCATTACCCCAAACCAGCCTTTTGTCGCCTGCGCGAGGTCTGCTATCGCGCGGTCAGCCATGCTAAAAGGAACTTTGGATGTTGCGAAAGCACCAAAGCGTATTCTAGCCGCTTGTGGTGATAAATTAAGCAATAGCAATTTACACGCAAATGGTGTGCTAATCGACGCTTTCCTCTAAAATAGCCAATTTAGCACTACATATGCACGGGTCATGATGAAGTTGGTTGAACTTAATTCAGGCGTCGGGGCAGATAGACCACCAAGATAGACAGCCAAGGGACCTGCCCCGCCCGCCGGCAGCCAACTCCTGGCGGTGGAGACAGCCCGCCCGGGCCCCGCATCCACGCCGAACAGAAAGAAAGAAACAGATCACACATCGCACGCAACTAAAAAAGAAAGCAAGACGCATGTATCATGCAAGCCCTGCAACCACTGCCCCCGCTCCATTACGCACTTTTCTTCTTCTGCCAATGCACCAGAATAGAAGCCACGCCCACCACCGGCAACCCAACATCATCTGGCTGTCCTTACTCCGTGCAAATCAGGACCGCGCACCACCCCGACATACAAGCATCTCCGCCGCGCAGTCACATGCGCACCATTCTAACCTGACAGTCAAGGGTGAAGAAGCAACGTCTCCCGTAGGCTGCATGTAATAAGGTGCGAAGCGGCTCTGAGCGAAGAACCAGTTGGGGGGCCCAACTGCACTTTCGGGGGACACACTTGGAGTCAAACCCAGCTGTACACCCGAGCTACACGGATAACACGCCACGCCGAAATATGCATCTGTCTGCATAGCGCAGGAAGCCAACCAGCCATGCCATGCGGAGCTGCACCACGGCTTCAGATCTTCGCACCCCTCCCACCCTCCCATGCATGTTCCTCTCTCATGCCTGGAAACCTGCCTGCCTTCGCTACTCCAGCGTCCCCCTAGCCTCATCCGTACATAGTAAGGTACTGGCAGGCCAGGCTGTACATGTAGCCAGTGGCGCAGGGGGTGGTCGAGACCTGCAAGACGCAAGAGCGCCACGAGGGATGTGAAGGACATAGGGTGATGTTGGTGCACATACATAAACTAAATTATTCACATTATATTATTCACGTTATATTATCTACATTATGCACATACGTTCCCATTGGAAAGGTAGAAGGAACACGGTCGCCTGCATCCTATCTCAGCTGCGATGAGACCAATTCAGGCTGCCAGCCAGCCAGCCAGCCAGCCAGCCAGCCAGGAAAAGAAGACCGCTGTGGGTACGCCCGTAGTTCAACGCCGTGTGGCCATACCACGTCACATACATCCGTACACACACACACACACCTGTAGATCCATCGCCTGTAGCGCGTATTTGCTCTCGCTTTTGCCGCCCACCACCGTGACCCAATGCGTGTACTTGGCGGGGTTGAACAGGTTGGCTTCCGAGTTTACGGGGAGGGTGTCTGGCGACAGGACGATGTGGGAAAGGGAGGGTGAGGGGATTGGACCAGGATAACCGGAAATGCGGTTGCAGAACATCATAATTACACCCGTCTCCCGGTTGATGCACCCCCATCAGGAGGCTTAATTGTTAAGGCACACGGGGTTGGTTACCCGTCCCCATGCATCCACACTCCCCGCTATGCTATAGTACAGCGAAAGTGAAATAAAAACCCTATCCCATGCCACCAAGGACTTACCGTTGGGGATTGGGACCGGCTGGCGGATGAAACCAATCATCTCGGTATTCCAGGTGTTGGTTCTTGGGTCCTCCTGCGGTACGACCATTGACAAAGCAACAGGATGAGGAGTACAACAAGGAGGAAGCAGCACCACCTGCTGATGCGAGGGCCAAGGCAAGGGACCGAAAGCGCCTCCCGTGCTCCTCTCAAATCCAAATCATACCGGGCCTGCCTGATAGATACATCTCGTAGGAACACCACGCCATCCCGGCTCTTCCTGGCTTTCCTAGTTCCGCGACAATCGCTGCCTCTCCCTTCGCCTCTCCTACCAGCCTGTGCCCCCTTCACAGAGGATATGCTCTTCTGCTGCCATGCTGTGCCAGAGGACGATCCGCCATGCACTGCCCCTACCTGATTGCAAGACGTGTTAGCGACCGGATCTGGGTAATAGGTGGGACCCCACTCTGGTGGATTGTACAGCGCCAGGTCCTCCGCCGTCGCGCACAGTGGCGCCCAGACGGGCTCCCCCGCGGAACTGTTGACCAGCACTTCCACACGGCCATTACCGGCACGCATGCCGCCAGCGTCTACCAGGTTCGGTTCCAGGTCCAAGACTTTGATGGCGTCGGGCATATCAGGCGGTGGTGGCGCGCGCGGCGGCGGCCCAGCCGCGCCTGTACACATCGGGAATCAAATTTAAACACCAGGGCAACAGCATTTCAGTAAAAAAAATCAGTTATCACAAAGCAAAGCAAGTATAACCACAGCAAATCCGCGTCGCAATGGGAACGTGTAACAACGACCGCAGAGTGAGTTGAAAATAAACGGAACGCATTCCCCGGAACGCTGCACATATGGCAAACCCAGTCCTGCCACGCACACTCGACCCCCGAGAAAGAACCGGACCGATAACTTACGAGGTGGAGGTGGTCGGCTCGGCGTCGTGAAGTTGGCTGCATAGGCACAGTCGCAATGCATGCAACGCACCATGTTATGGACTTGCAGGGCTATCAGGCCATCAGGGGTACGCAAGCATGAGCGAGCTGTTGACCTTTTTACCCAAGAGCTGCAGCCCAAACGACCTAATGAGATACCATGACAGACAAACGCAAAAGACGACAGGGCCTAAAACCCTTTTGGATGAGCCCGGTCAGATGAGGTGAGGTCAGGTCAGGTATACGCAGCCTGAACGACTCTCTCCCAGCTTACACAGACAACAGGTAAACTGCACCACAAAAGCACAACTCCGCACTACATAACCTCCAGGGAGTTTTGCTTCTGTTTGCGCCCATCATACATGTCTGCACCTGCCGAGGCCGGACTTTCCTGAGGTCCTCACACATTATATCACTGGCCTAGTGCGTATTTCCTATCGGATTGAATGTATCGCTGTGTTCTAGCCAGTGTGCGGGGACGGGTGAGTGAGTTTGGAAGGTGACAAAGGAGCGACGATGGGCAGGAGGGACACAGGTACACCCATGCGAGGCCGCAGGTGCACTCACCGTTGGAGCACTGGAGGGCAACGAGTGCCCCTTCGCTGCAGTCGGACCGGAACAGGAAGCAGGTGGGGTCGTCATCGTTCTGGAAAGCAATCATGCCGACAGGGATTTCCGGAGGAAACCCGTCGCACAGCAGACCACCCACAGGTGTTGGCCTGCGCGCCGGGGAGAGAGAGTTGGTTGGTTGGTTGGTTGGTTTTGAGAGAGAGAGAGAGAGAGAGAGAGAGAGAGAGAGAGCGCCAGCCAGCAGAGAGGAGAGTCAGCAGAGAGGAGAGTCAGCAGAGACGGGGAGCTGGTGCAAGGTGAGAGCAGGAAGGGAATGAGGCAGGCAGGCAAGCAGGCAGGCAGACAGGCAGGCAGGCAGGCAGGCGAGACGACTTACGTATTAACCTCATCAGCTCCAAAGTCGCTGATGCCCGCTGCGTAGTACTGGCGACCCGTCTTAAATCCAAGCTGCTGGCAGAAGAACTGTCGAGGTCGAGGGAGGGGCAGGGAGGGGCAGGGAGGGAAGGAGGAAGTTCGTGATTATGAAGACAGGCCCCAAGCACCTCAACAAGCGCACGGGCATGCGCCCATCCACCTACGTGGCGCTACTTGACGTGGGACAAGAACATGACGCGCCCAACACAAACGGCCGCAGCTTAACAGATGAACCCTTAGGTGAACACGCTTCCTGCTCAAGTCTGTGATGCCGCCGATCACTTCGTCACCGCCGGTGCCGTCCATCCAAACAGCAGCTACCCTTCCAAACCCAGAAACCACCCCTCAGTAAAATAACGTGCTCGTCCAGCACCACGCCATAAGGGCCGGTCCTCAGAACATGAGGACACCGCCAAGGCCAAGGTCAAGGCCAAGGCCGGCCCCAATCCCCAACACAGGTTGCCCCCGGTTTCAAGTCGCAGGAGCCTATTGCCAAGCCTCGGGAACAAACAAACATGATGCATGCACCCTTCCTTGTACGACTGACAACTTCTTTCTCCTTGCAGGACTGTATGCCACACCACGCCACCCCACCCCACCCCACCCGCTCACAATGGCTTCGTCGGGGCCAACGCTGCCATCATCGCACAGGGGCGCCCAGCCGCCGTTCTCCGTGTAGCCCCACTGGGCGGGGTAGTACTCCTGCTTGAAGGACACCTCCAGGCGGCCGATGCGACCAGCCCCACGGGTCAGCCGGACACCGTTCCGGGTGCCTGCACGTGCGGGGGAGAACAATGACGTCGGTATGTAAGTCGGACAGTCCTACAGGAATACCGGAGGATCACAGGGAAGGGAAGTAATCCAGCATAGCACAAGTCCGAGGAACAATGGTGTGCGCATGTGCATGTATGTGTGTATGTGCTGCAAGTATTAAAAGGTATTAGTGTCTTGACTGCACACGACAAAAGGAAATGCAGAGGAAGAGCTAAGAAATTATCGTCATTCGTTTAACTACCTCAATGACACGTGAAGCGTATGGACTGCGGGCAGAAAGCGTCTTAGCTACTTCGTCAGCACGAGGCTGAGTGGGCGGTACTTACGAGGAGGTGAGGGAGGGCGACGGGGTGGGGACGGCGGCAGGGCAGGTGGCTTTTGAGGAACCCGTGGCTTGCGGGGCGGAAGGCGTGGCTTGGCAGGGGGCTTTGGGGGTGATGGTGGGGGCCGGGGTGGAGATGGAGGCTTCCTTGGCGAAGGAGGCAATGGCCGCGGAGATGGAGGGGGAGACGGAGGAGGGGACGGCGGTGGGGGTGGGGAAGAACGGGGTGATGGAGGCCGCGGCGATGGAGGCCGGGGGAGCCTGGGACGCGGCGTCGAAGGATCTTGAGCGATGGGCTGGGCACCTGTCGCACATGTGGATGTGGTCTAATGCCCGGTTTTCCGTAACCGCTTTGACCAGGTATGCAACTGTCGCGTCAATTGGACCATGTCACAGGCTCTTAATTCGAGAGTCCCACACCGCAATGCCCTTACCCGCAGTCAGAAGAAGGAGCTGAAGGAGAAACTGTAAACTACATGTCCGTCGCCTCGCCACAGAGCCAACGGCACAAAGAGCCAACGACACACACAGCCAAAGGCACCGCCTCCAGACAGCCGACATTAGGAACTTCCTTTAGATGCAAAACGCTGAAAGTCGTCCAATTGTAATGTTAAATAATCCTTTTTGATGAGATGGCAGCTTAGTCAGTGCACTGCGCAAACCCTCGACTGCTTGGCAGGGCCGGCTGATAGAGTCCTTTAGATTAATACAACATACACCCATGCAAAACTACGCCTCCCTTGGTATAATGTGCTCTGCATGTCCCGTAAACCGTGGAACTTAATGGTACGAACACCATCGACTCGGAAGTCGGGCGCATCCCTGACCAATTCCGGCGCCTCCCTTACCAAACTGTATATTGAATTCTAAAAACCATTCATGTTCTAAAATTTATTCCTTACTTATGGATGTTTTAGGTTGATCTGCGCTTGTGATGGATTTAGTGCCAGTAAGCGCTAACGCACCTCTTCAACTAACCCAAAACCACCCCTCACCTAACCCAGAAACGCACCTCTTCGACTAACCCAGAAACCACCCCTCAACTAACCCAGAAACCACAGGCCTCACGGGGCCGGAATTCCGGAATTTGACCCCATGAATTCCCAAGCAAATCCGGGTCAAATCCCAACGGGATTTGAGGATTTGACCCCCAAAACAACAAACAATATAATGGTAATGCAAAGATTTCCTCGGGCCTGGAATTTGACACATTTGAGGATTTGAACCCCCCAAAACAATTATCATGGCCATGCAAACAATTCCATGCGCAGCCGTTACAATATATTGCATATCTTCGAGCGGCATGTTATGCTCGTGCCAGTCAGTCCTCGCGCCGCATGCCTTCAAACATTTAGTTAGACTTTTACTATTAGAGTTATTCCTCCAAAGCCGGCGCTCACCGCAAAGAGCGATGTCAGACAGCGGCGATGGACAACCCAGAGGTGCGAATTTACTTTTTCAGCTTGGACGCCAAGGGGCCTCCACAGGCAACGGATTATGCATAGCGAAGATGTAGGATTAGCTCATCAAGATAGCAACGATGACTGCGTTATTATGCAGAAGTAATGGACCTTACGCGAGATGGTGCCGACCAACCCCCACTGGGACGCCGCCGACTGAATAACGGAGCCGCTGTGAGCACGAACAGGTGCTTGTGCACATTGGAAGGTCTTAGTACAGTGCACAGGCTTGCGCGGGAGGGTTCCATGCGGCGGGTTACACAGGCCAAGAGTGGACATGACCGCCAACCGAGGTAACCACACGAGCATGCCATGCCCGGCCAGTGGTTCTGTGTGAGCATCGCCTGTTGCTGCTGTATAAGTTGGTGGAGGTGCAGGAGTGCGGGGCCTGTTGCAGCTGGGGCCGCAGCTGGGACGGCGGGGACAGCAGTGGCTGGGGCAACGCCACCCTGCCCTGCACCCGCCCTAGCCCAACGCCGCCCTCCCCTACCCCCCCCCATCCAAACGCCGCCCTTCCCTGC